GAGAAATGACCCCTCTGTCCCGAGCGCAGTTCAATCCATGGAATTATTAGACTCAAAGTTAAAATCGGCATACGCACAAATCTGGATACCTAAAGAAATGAAAGAGGCGCTGAATGCCGTTGATCCATGCGGCCGGCAGCCGGAAACTACCCGTAAGCGAAACCACCAGGGATCAAACAGGTAAAGTCATCTTTAACAGGGGACAGCCTGTCAACCGTTAGGCCGAGCAATGTGGCAACACGCTGCCGCTCAGCTGAATTGTCGAACCGCAATTGGATCCTGAACGTTGAACCTGGAACCCCGTACCGACTGTGAGGCTTGTGAATACATAGTCATTCAAGCGTCTTGGAGCCCCTGGTCCGAAAGACGTCCTAACCCACCGTTCAAGGATGAGGGTGAGGTCCTCAGCCAACGTTTTCCTGGCTTTAATCGACAGATGATCTTGTAATTGAGGTCAATAAATGCTGAAAAGCCTAAAGTCACTGTACAGCTATTTCATCCTAATTGGGAATCGTCGGTTGTGCGCAGCTCACATCCCATGGAACTTCGCACGCACGTCTTGGCTAGCAGTTGAACACTATACCCTTTGTCCACGACCGTCTGATTAGCAGTGTACCTCGCACTTAGATGGTATACAGCTTCACGCATTCTACACCCACTGGATTCCCAACACATGGTCAAGCTTTGATCGGCTCCTCGGGTCATAGTCTACTTGCCAAGCTACTTGTATCTTGTTGGTAGCGTGGTAAGATTTGAAAATCTCACCTGAGACTTCACTCCGTTCGCGAAATCAAGCTAATCAGAAAAGCCTAGCGGTACCGTACAGCTGATTTGTTCTCCTCTATTTGGGAAAAAGGTGTTTGTCCCAGAAAGCCGGCGTAAAGTACTAATGGTGCTTGTCTTCAGAAAATAAAGCCTCATATTGAATGTGGCAACCACAGAGGAATCGGGTTGATTCTAGTTCTAACGAGAATACTTGGTATCACTTGTCCGTCGTCGCCATGTGATGGCTCGTGAAACACTGAATCGAGGGAAACAAGCAGGATTCGGTCTGGTGGGGTTGTGTTGATCGCATCTAGATTATTCTAGCACAACGCCAGTCATATAATCGACCTAGAATTTCGGTATTCCCGGATTCCCTATGTTCATTTGGTTCTGTCGACTGGTCTTTTCTCCTCGATAAGCTTACCAAGCGAGAACCATCTCGAAAACTTGTGAATTTAATATGTTCTCTGCATTCTCAGATTTCCGGGTGTCCAGAAGCATACGGAGAGCTCCCCGAAAACTTTTGTTCATAAAGTGTGGCTCGACAAGAATGCCAACTTTTTCCATTCTTTAAAAACCCTGGTGTTCAAACTGCTACCAACGAAAACCTTGCCGATCTGGAATGATCACATGATGATGCTATCCTCCTCATAAAGAGAAAGAAGCCACATATGTTTTTGGATGAACTGATTTTTGGCCACGTAGCGTAAAGTCAAGTAGTTATTGAACACGCCACTTGTAATCCAAGGAAGCGTACCCGAGAATGTCGAGTGCTTTGAATAAGCGGGGATTCGTATCAGTTCCGATTGTAGTGTGGCAGGTGAAGTCGATGCACGGATCTCAAGGAATCGGGTTATGTCTGTTAGTTTGAGACGCCTATTGCGGCAACGCGGCATATCCCGGGATCTCATGTGCAGTGCGTACCTGGCTTTGTCATGCGGTTGTGAGGTGCGTCCTACGTGGAACTGACGTGCCTTTAAGTCTTTGACAACCGATGTCTTGGAACCATAGTTTGTGTAAGCTGGTATCAACAAAGCCGCTCTCATAAAGCGAGTGTTCGTTTGTATAGCAGGAACCTCAATCGAAGAATTTGTCCGGTACCAAAATTTGCAGTGATTTCACATTGTAATATCACATTGCGAGTCGTAATTTACCAAACAGGATGCTGTTTTTTGCGCCCAATTCAGAGTGGCACAAGCGGAGGTGTAGTCAACATTTGATCTGGCATGGGTATGTAGTTTATTACGAAAAGTCTGCGATATCGCTGCGACTGGCCTTTTAGTGTGGGATCCACGTGGTCCCTCTATGAATGTCTGGAAAAGTTGTAAGGTGTGGCTGCTAACTGACGTTCTAATTAGCGTTCTTGTTGTCATTTTCTATCCACATTATCTGAATGAATGTCTGCTGGTGCAGGTACTTCGGAATGATTGTACGCCTAGTACCAGGTCCTTCCCTATCACTTAACTTTTCACAATAAGGCAGTGAATCCCCGGTGAACACTGGTGCTATGCCGTTGGTTATACTGTTACTGAATCGCTGGAATAAGAGAATGACAGAAATGCTTTCTGTATGAACAGTTGTCACGCTGTCGAACCAGCCCACCGTCGGTGGTGGTTCACAATCCCCTGACCACACACCACAAATATTTTTGAGGTTTTCTTCGGATCAATCCAGCATCGTTTTCGGGTCGTGATACAGTTGATATGTTGGTCTGGCTCAGTAAGATGATTCTTTGAAGGTTCAACTTCTCCACAGGTATGATCCGGCGAAGCAGGAGTGCTATGCTACGCCCCACCCGAAGACCTAACTGACTCGCGCATTCTAACGCGAAGCTTGCTAGACACATTCATGCTCTCCAAACGATGGCCCCAGCCTCCAATCTACTCAAACGTGAGTGCGACAACCCCGTTTTTACGCGTGGATTTGGCTTTCCAATTGGGTTCGCCCGCTGAAAATCACCTCGAGTGCTCAAGTTTTACTTGTAGCCTCTAGCCTCCCAGAGAAGCCGACATTCGTGCCCGACATCTGACAAAGGTGCACCAAAACCCCAACTCGACTATCCAAACCCTAATTGGGAAGTGTCCATATCTCACCACCCTGATGCACAATAATGCAGTGATTCAGCAGTCAACGCGAGGAGCCATTGGTCTACCTTTCGTATGCAAACCAACGGGGTGTCGAAAATGCTTTCGAAGTGTAATTTGTTGATATGGTTTACGGGTAGTTCCATTTAATCATTGCCGTCCTGTTCCATGGTTGGAACCAAACCTCTGCCTCTTAACTTCCCTTGTCTAGGCTTGGGCAACCTGGCAGTATCCCGGCCCTCATGCTTCCTTCTGGTAACATGTCACATAGGGTGATTATTATTGATCATTGCTGTCCTGCCACAATTAGGGATGGGCTTATTTTCGCCTACTTTGTGTCATCATGTAACCGAATATCGTCAGACAACCCTGAATCAATTAAGGGTTTGGCCAGTAAATTCCTCGGACATTTATCTCAGCTGTTTTCATTCTACACATTCGTGCAAAGCGGTTGTTTTGTTTGCTTTTGGACCATACTGTATAGAAGCCGGTAGCCCTATTCAGCAGGTTGAGCTTCTTATTCGCCGCCTCAATGTCTTACGGATGAGTTTTTTTAACGATGGGTGGGTTTTCCTCAAACTTGCCAGCTCAAAGGTAAATTTTCATCTCTACGCTCTGAAACCATGACTAACTGGCCTCTTTCCACTTCTCCTGTCAAGATCTTAAGGAGATATCCATTTGTGAACATCTGCAAGAGATCATTCACGGGGGATATTGAATCTGTCTTGAACAGCTGATAAGGACTGGACGAGTTTCCGCGTAACATAAATGAGGAAAACAACCAGACTTGAAGCGATCGCCATTCACTTCCCTGAGAACTACCTAAAGGCAACTCTTGGTTATTGGCTTCGGCGACAGTCGAAGATGAAAAGTAAAGCTAAATTTAACCGCATTCTACTTCACTGAAGCCGGGAGGTTGTGAGACACTTATGGTGCTTAGCGGTAAAAAAAGGCAGGGAATTAGTGGAGAGACTTCTCAATACCGTGAACTGGCTGACTAACACTCTGAATGTTGTCTAAAGTGGCACTAGCTGAAACATTAGATGAGAATTTAGCCCTCAGCTGTCTGTCCCAACTGCACATGAGGTGTTCGACAGATGCGAGCCGCAATCTATGCGACTGAAAAGAGAATTTAGGTTATCGTTTTCGAGAAAGTTTGGTGACAATCGGTAGATTTATTGCTGGGCAACGTTTCGCTTTTGACACAAAAGCTTCGTCAGGCCAAGTGACTAGGTTCCGAGGTTGGTCGAGATTTAAGACGGAAGGAGAACCAATCAGCTAAGTCAGGCTAAATCTCTGTTGGGTGTCGGCTGAGGGATTTTAGTGTGTTATGTAGTAATGGCAGTGTAGTGGTTATGTAGCAACCACGGCGAGGCATACAGAGACAATCTTAGGATTTCGGCACTTTAGGAGCTCTAACTAATTGGAGAAAAGTATTCCGTGACTAATCTCGACCTGGTAAGTTGGTTACCGTCCACGCGCTGCATCCGAGTAGGTATAGGTAAAAGCTTACAGCGTTGAAAACCAAGTGTTCATAAGTCCCCGTCAGTGGACACTTCAGTAGGCTCTTCCAGTGTCAAAAGCTTCAAGTGGGGCTTCATTACTCGCATGGTCGAGATGCAGATGTGGTTCGAACCTAACCTCTCTCTCTCAGCCCAAATACTCCAGTCTTTGCTTGGGCAACCTGCCAGTATCTCAACGCTCGTGCTCCCTTCGGGTGGCATGGCAAGCACCGAAAGGGTGTTACAGCTGGACGATTATTATTATATTCAATTACTCAAATGGTCTGCAGAGCCCGTAGTTCAGTCGGAATTCTATAAGTTCGGCTCGTACTTCTGAAACCTACGAAGTAATACTTCTAATGAAATGAAACTTGCGATCTGAAGCCCATTGAGACGGATATACTTTATTAAGTCCTTTTCCCTAACAAGACGGATGACTGGTATCATAAATGTATTGTTTGCTTACGAGAGAAAGAGAGAGAAAAGCAGTGTCCATAAGCTCCTAAGCATCAAATGGAGTAAAATACAAAGTGATCGAATTTCGCTTAGCTGGATTGTGAAAGACAAGGGTAATGGGGCGAAGGAACAAAATGTGTTCTCATACAACGAATGTCCGTTTGTCGACAGGCAGGAGAACCGTGGATTGCATTTAGGAAGAATCACGCTGGTTCGGTTCGTTGGCTATCAGCTCCCAACGATCAAGCTCGTTACCAGTACTCCACACAGCAGACCCAGTGGGTGTGATGTCGTCTGGATGCTGGGTACATTGCGACTGGACTTCGATTGTCTGAGAGCCTTCGCAACTTGAGCTTTCCTCGAGTTCCTTTGCTTCTTCGCCTGGCTCTACGTGTTCCAATCGTAGCCTGAGTGACCTCGACGAAACGAACGAGGCCGGTGGCTCCACCTTCCCGAAAAATCCGTCCAAAGCGTTTTCGTATGGTGCATCGAAGTGCCTGCAAGTAGATATAAGACGGCAAATAAATGTAATCAGGTGATATAACCGATGATAAGTGGCGCTTGAAAAGTAGGCTGACTGCAAGCTAGGTATCACCACCGGGTGTTGCAGTCTATCTCCTTTTCAATAACTACGAAGTAGTGGTGTCCATTTGTACACCCGTATGACCAGTTGCCTCATTTGTGGGTGCTAAGGGAAAGAAGATCTAGCATCCTGTTAGGAAGACAAAGTACGCGCAGTTTCAACACTTTGGATGTGTTGGCCAAAGAGTGGGTAAGGGAAGAGTTTGTCAATGGCGTGTCAGATCCACAGAAAATCATGGAGAGCTGCCAGCAGATAAGATTTTGCGTAGCTCAGCTTTTTTCCCAGCTCAGCGAACAAATCATCGTAAAGTTCCCTGCCTGTCTCTCTTGAATCAACCTGTGCGTTCAGGACGGCAGCCAAATTCGTGGCTAGTATTGACCTAAGTCTGCAATCGCTTACTGGCAGGCAAGGTTCAAATGATGTGACTCTGAATTTAAAGGCTCGACAAAAGTTCAATTAAAATAACTTTCCAACAAAAAATGACCGGGTTGTAATAGCCAGCAACAAATTAACGGCCCGAAAACTGGTTCGGATAAGCGATTCAATGGCAACTACTCCGCGACTACATGCTTTCTGATGCGTACAGAATGGTAACAGAATCAGACTGTTGGGAAAGATTACCAAATGACTTTCAGGAGACAGATGAGAAAGATGTTTTCCAAGAAAGAACACGCATTTGAAAATACAAATGGGACTGGTGCTCTTAATCACGTTTGTCAAGCTGACAGCCGAAAAGTGAGTTCCGTTGTGTGCAACGTCTAGATATCGAGGGCACTATTGACGCGTCAGGTTAGAGAACGCTAGAAATGAGATCAATGGAGTTATACGGTCAGATTCGGTGTGGTGATCGGGCAATCATGTAAGTCCTCTCCAAATGGTCGCTGTGACTATTCGAGTCCAGCTAAATTTTCTAACGAACCCAACTAATATATCGTCCAAAATGACCCCTTGGGTGTTGATTTGCCTGACTGATGAATCAGGTAACTACGAAAGTTCACTTCAAATTTCCCCTATTCAACATTTTACATCCATTAGCTGTAAGTGAGCAAACGAGCGCAGCGAACCTTTTCGACCAGCACACTTCCAGAGGAATCTAAATGTCCCATGATAAGCGCATCGCGAAGTAAGTGCATGACACTGTCTAAATCATCAGTCATTTCTGTGCCAAACATGGATTTTGTACACAACTAGCAGTCAGAGGTAATACTAATACAAAGTTCAATGAAGCGAATATTTTCCGCAGCTGAACCGGTTCACTCGTCAAAACTGCTTCGACCCCACAAGAACAGCATTCGACTCTCCTCAGCCCACAAACTGTACATAACAATGAGTGCACCCTCAAGGAGAGCAAACACGTTAGCATCCGAATAAGACGCTGAGCCCGAATAATTGTGCCGGACTTTCCACTACTCCGGCGCTTTAAAGCAAACTTAAGGAGAACGGAGCGCATGAAAAAAAACGGTAGTCCATACGGGCATAATTTGAAGTATGGAACTAGTCTGGCGTTGAGATTTCCGAACGACATACGGTAATCTCTTTCCGAAGAGGCCTGTTCGCATGCAATGATCATCATGCAGAACATTATTTGGCGACATGAAAAATTTCCATACGATGTCTCCAACGAGCGGAACAAAATTTCACAGAAAGCGACCACAAATGCTTCCCATTATGAAATGCACTTCCTATAGTGTATACTTACAATTTAGAGGTCAAAATGCGAACTTAGTGGCCAGAAGGTTCGTGGTTCGAACCCAACCTTAGCAGTTCGACTGCTTCTGTCTGTGCTTGAGAAACCTGGCAGCAGCCGTACTTCCTTCGGGTGCCATGGCAACCATGTGCCGAAAAGGTTTTACAACTGACCAATCATTACTTTTATTTATTCTCCAATTAACGCATTGCTTAATCGAAGTTAGGTGAGCGTTTGACACACTTCATCTACAAATGTTCCAGCAACACATCGCTGGCGGTGAGATGTTCGTTTCAGAAGTCGTCCGTTTTCGGAGCACTGACGGAATTCTACGAACCGAAACTAAACGTTTTCGATCACTGAAACAACCAGGCAGGGTAAAAGCGCAACACACTTTGGAATATGTGGGCTGTATGGAAGATCGGCCTCATTGCACTGAATCATAAGCAGA